GATAAGAGATCTGTCCCTAGATCCAATTCGCACATTGCATTAGTGGTAAATAGAAGACACCTTGCACCAAAGGACTTAAAGCCTACGGATAAATCTGTTGCGGGATGCCATTTCTTTGTAAATATCTAATTCCAGACACAGAACTAGAAGCAGGATCAACAGCTTCATCGGATCTCTTAAAACTGTAAGTTTTTTTTTTTAACTGCTTGCTTTTGTGAAAATTTTTTAGTTTTATAGCAAATTTCTGCTCCCAACAGTAGAAACTGCAAACATTTTGCTTTTGTTTTTTAAATTTAAGGCTTTTTTTATAATTGTTCTTTTTGAGTTCATCCAAATGTCGGACGATTGGTACTCCCACTGTTTACACTTGCGGTGTTTGTCAAATTGTCGACGATGGGGAGACTTCATTTGCGAAGGCAGGTTACGGCGTATATTGGCCACATGCAGCAGAGCTGGGCACCGGAAGGCGCTACAGTTTCTATCCTATCACGTTGGTTCGATGTCAGCTTCAAGCGATCATTGAAGCACTCCAACAGGTTCCTCACTGTAGAAGTATTTTTTCGCCGTTACGGTTTTGGTCTTTTCTCCGAGATCCGTTTGTCTGTCACGTAGAGCATAACTGGGGCAGTTTTGACGAATTTAGAGACGACGTTTGACACGCAATCGCTTCGGTGCGTATGGGCACTAGGCTTTACTACGCAGCTCACTTCAGTTATTATCCCTACGTTGAACAAGTCTAATTCGGCTGTTGGAGCGGTAATGCTTTACTGCAGAACTCTGTAGTCATTATGGAGGAGACAAATCTTATTATCGAGAGTAAAATTTGGTGTAGCAGCTTTCTGATGACACTTCGCCGCAGTACGTTGAGAATTAGTGAGGGAGTCCGAAATCAGGGAATTACATCAGGCACATTGCGGTAAACCGGAGATAAAAGGCATATTATTTAGTAGAGAGAGTTTATTTAAAAATTAGAGTACTGAAATGCGCTTGACGAAGCACTAGCCCATATTTCTCTCATATAAGTACTGGAAAATTTAGAATGGTACTAAGTTGCTGATGGAAATAATGAAGTTAAGTGGTTTTTAAAGGTTAAAGCAAAAGGGGTAGGACGTTTCTTTCGACCGCATGTGTAATTTGGTCGTGGTGTAGACCAACGAAGGAAAACAGTCGAATTTTAAAATGTGGTCGAACTTTGGTTTTTTATTCGTAACAAGGGCTTACGAAATCCTCAAGCATTTTGAAAAACAGTGTAAACTGGACGGAGTACTTTAGGATAGGATGAAATGTGCAGTTTTGCAGTGGGTCATCCTCACAAGTTTGAACCGGTTGAAGCATGGCGCGGCCGAGTTGTCGAAGCGAAGCTTGAAATAATCCCTTCTTTAATAATTATC